CAAACTCATGATCTCCTCTGTCCATTCCAGCCACCCTGCCCCTGCCCCTGACTGGAGCTCCTTCACCTCTGACCAGCATTGCTTGCTCTCCCTGCTCTGCCCTCCCAACTATCACATTATCCTCTCACTCCACCAAGAACCAGACCCTTCCCATCTGTCCACTCCATCCTAGCTTCACCTCCTTCCTCTTGGTGGACCACCACTTCCGCCTCTCTTGTCAACATCTCCAACTTCCTTGCTTGCTTGTCTCCCTTGTCCAGCAAGGCCCAGACCTGGATCAGCCTCACCGTAGCCTTATCCATGCCTATCTCAGGGTTCATGGGATGGCAAAGAAAGCCCACAACCCCACAGATTAGTGCCTCCACAAACCCATGGCCTCCAACCTCAGTAGGCCGTCACTACTGCCCTGCAGTCTCTGTGAGTTGCTATTAGCTTTCTCTCCTCTTTTCCATAGCAGCCATCTTCAACATTTTCCTCTTTCTCCAAGCTTCCCACTGCATCCCATTTCCTCACATTGAGCAGATATCCTTGCCTCCAACATCACAAGAGAAGTAATGGCTATCGGGTATGAACTCCCTCCATTTCCTGAGTCCGCCTCCCAATTACCTACCTACTGACTACTGACTCACTTGCATCTCCAAATCCTCCTTCATTTCTCCCTTCCCATCTCAGGGGAAAAGTGGGCTGTCCTCCTGCCTGAGGCTCACTCTGAACCCCACCACCTCCCACCCTCTTGTTGATTTCACTCCATCCTTCAACCCCTCTCTTTCCTGTATCCTCAACTGTCTGTTTACTGGCTTTTCCCCATAAGCATTTTTAAATGTCCCAATCTCTCCCAACTTTAAACAAAATTGTCTCTCAACTCTACATCCTTTTTGGTTTTCTCCCTCCTCCCCTTCAAAAACATTCCCAAGAATTATCTACATCCATTTCCCATGCACTTAGCCTTCTACCCATGCTACTCCACTGAACCTACTTTCTCCAAGGTCGCCAGTGACCTCTTTGTTGTTAAATTTGGTGTTCACTTGTTCAGACTTTGGCTTACCTGACTATTCTGCACCATGCCACCTCACTTCCTCCATGTGGCTTCCATGGCACACCAATCTTTGGTTTTCTTCCTATCTCTCTGACTGTTCTTCTCACCTTTCCTTCTGGGTTCCTCTTCCTCTACCTGTCCCTTAAATGTTGGTATTTTCCAAGGATTTTGGTCTTCTCTTTCACCCTCTCTGAGGGATTTCATCCATCCCCATAGCTTCAATTATCATGTATATGTCAGTAACTTGATAACTTAAGACTCTTCCAGATCAGATCTCTCAAGATGACAGGTTCTCAGGCTCTACATTTTTGGTTTGAATTAGGTTCAGGGTAATAGACTCCCTGGTTACTTCTTCTTGGCCATGAGTTAGTTATTTGCATATATTAAGGCATTCTCTCAAGATAAGCTCCAAATCACCTACTGGACATGTCACCTGGATGTTTCCTACTCACCTCAAACTTACCTCCTCCTCTTCCTGCCTAAACCTGTTTCTTTACCATTCCACACCTCAGGGGAAAGTACCATCATCCATCCACCTAGTTACCCAAGGCAGACACCCAGGCATCACCCTCGACTCCATGCCCTCCGTGCCCTCAGTTTATCACTCACAAAGTCCTCTGAATATTTACCTCTTTACTACATCTCAGATGCACCTTCTCTTTTCCATCTTCATACACTGTGCTGGATCACTGCAGCAGCTTCCAACCCACATCCCAGCCTCGTCTTCTCCTGGCCATTCTCCATACAGGCCCTATACCTTTCCAAAATGCACATCTCCTTAAAGATTTTCATTATCTTTAGAATAAAGTTAAATTCCTCAACCTGGCATACTAGGCTCTTCAAAACCCAGCCCTGGTTATTCACTCCAACCTCACATCTGAGATTCAGCATTCTGGTTTATCTCCTTGTTACTTAATTAGAAGACCCATAGAACTTTACTGAGACCCTTTTCCCTCCTTTAAGAAAGTAGGAAACTAGCTCAATGTTCCTCAAGAATGCTTTAAAACTCTAGCTTCTAAGCATCTAGAATTCCATTCTCTTACGGTTCTCTGCTCTAAAGCCACCCCTAAAAAATAACAAAACAAATATAGTGAGCATATACCTGACAAAAACCATACAACTAATAAGAGAGAGAATGGGTATTTGAATCCAGATTACCAAGGACCTTACCTCCTGCCTGTTTATTCACAGTGAAACCAATTTCTGATAACCCAAGATGAAGAACGTGGAAACAGACTACCATTTGTTAAGTGCTTAATACTTATGAAGGCTTTACATAAAGGATCTCAATTATCCATTACAACATTGTCAAATAAGCAAACTGCAGATCCAAGAAGGTAAGTCTGTGCAAGGTCACAAACCTGGCAATTGAGTTTGAATTCCCCCATCTCCAGCTTATTAGCTGCTCCCTAACACCAATAAATAGCATTTTACAGCTGAAAAAATAGATCCAGCACAGGGTCACACATCTAATCAGAGGCGAAGTCAGAATTAGAACCCTGGTTTCCTGACTCTACTTGGCTGGATGGATGCTATTTTAGTCCCTGTTTTCTGGGAGAATCATGGAACCCTGACTTCTTCCCTGTTTGTAACAATTTCCTTAAAACCAGCGCTACTCCTGAAGGGTGAAACTGACTTCCAGAGTTTCAGCTGTGGCTCCAGGCCGTCTTCTTTGGCAGCCCTCTGCTGACATTCTGCTGATGCTCTGCTGATGCCCACCCTGTGATGTAGTCCTCCCCCCACCCACTTTTCCAACCCACTATTCTGCTGCCACTGCATCCACAGAATTAGGTACTCTGTGTCAGCACAAATCCCATTTCCCCTGCCTCCTTACAATTTTCTCATCCTCAGTAATGAGGCCCCATCTGTTTATCCAGCTCCAATGGCCTTCCCTCATGGTTTAGCCAAGATCAAAGCCCCTCTGCCATGCCTCTTAGAAGTCCTGTTAGTGATTCCCTAAACGCAATCCATTTTACTCATTCCCCTGTCCTAGCCTTCCCTCTCTGGATGTCATCAACTCAAGGATGACAGGGTTGCTTTTCTCCAGCTCTATCTTTTTGGTTTGAATTAGGCTAAGGGTAATAATACCCCTGGTTACTTCTTTGGCCACAAATTAATTTTTCTCATATATTAACGCATTCTTTCCAGAAAGCTTTAGCTGAAACACACCCAAAATGTCTGGATGAGGTGACATATGAAGCATGTGTGGGATTAATTGGACCATCTGGCCAACACCAGGGCCCTGAGTGAGGAAAAATGTAGAAAAGATGCTACCTAGCAAGGTGGGACATCATCACCAGGGCCCTATGATACTGAGCAGAGGGCTGAAAGAAGGGCAGGGATCTCAGACTGTCTTTACTTCATAATTGACAGGGGGAGAAGATCTCTCCCAGAAAGGGAGTGGGAGGCAGGGCATTTAGGCACAGAAAGGAGAAGGGCCAACATCTAGAAATAGAGGAACATTAAGAACTGATGACATTTAGGAGAGAACTGAGAGGACTTGCAAGGAATAATAGGCATGAATTTATCAATCCCTAGTGTCATAGGATTGGAAGGGCCCTCAAAGCATTCAGGCAAAATTTCAATCCCACTGTACTAACACAACATTTCTTCAAGAGGGTGGCATCTCTCTAGTTGACTACTTCCAGCAATGGGAAATGCCCAACCTTAGGAAATCAAGATTATGGCGGTGTGAGTGAAATTCAATTAAAGTTCAATTGATTTTCAATTCAACAAATATCTACTGAGTACCTAGTATGTGCCAGACACCTATATAAGCACAAGATTGTAAGTAGGAATAATATAGGCATGGCCCCTGCTCTTTGGATCTTATAATGTAATGTGAAAGAAGGATACATAAACACGCAAGTAGAGTAAAGGAAGTAGAGGGTGTGGCTCAAACACAAGCTGGGGTACCTAATACGGAGTAGGGCATCTAGGAAGTCTTCATGGACGACGCAGCGTCCGTTCACGGTGAGGCTTAAAGAATGTGAGGAGTTAGCTGAGTGCAGGGTAGAGGGACCCACGGGCGTGAGAGAAATCGGGTGCTTAAAGCTTCCTAGCTTCCAAAGAAGTTCAGAGTGTTGCAAGAAGGTGGAGTCGAGACTTGAAGGGCCTTTCGAATAACGTTGAGTGTAGGCTTAATTCTGGAGGCAACGGGAAGCCTGTGAAAGGTTTTAAGCACGAAAAGCGCCCTCTGGCTACACGGGCGGAGATGCTGCGGTACCCGGGGGTGGCTTGAAGGAGGCCAAAATCCGGGATGGGAAGGCCTTGATAGCCCAAGGGTTATGACCAAAAGTAAAGCGCTCCTCTATGACAAAACCGAGACAGAAAAAAAGGGATAAAGTTCAGAATGCGGTGGGAAGGTGTCCTCCATCCTCTCTCACCTTCGCTGGGCAAACCAAAGCGCCTCGCCCTCGGTTTGTCCCATCACCACAGAGCGTGGGCGGGAGGATAGTTCCACGCCCTTCTTCTCAGGTAGGAAAACTGAAGCCCAGAGTCTCGAAGTGGAGGCCCGGGAAAAAAAGAGAATGGAAATGGCCTCCCAAGAGGCTGCCTGAAGTCACGCACGATCCTTCGAGGGTCCGCGGCCTGCCCCATTTCTGTCAGCCACCCCCATCCAGCCGCCTTTGCTATGGAAACAGTCCTCCCACCCACCTCAGCATCTCCGCTTATTCAATGCACCCTGGGAAATGCAGTTCATCTCTAGTTACCTGCCCGCGGCATGAGCCCACTCCGCGTCCTTAAGGGACTACAAGTTCCAGAAGGCTGTGCGAAAACTCCGGCGGTCTCTGGGGGATGTGGTCTTGGCGGAGAGACTGAGGGACCGGCGGGCGGGGCCGAAGAGTGAGGGGTGGAAGGCACCACCTAGTGGGCGGCCTCCTGGGCGGGGCCTGGGCCGCCATTGGCTACGGCGGCGCAGAGGAGGCGGGGTCAGAGGAATGAGGCGCGGAGCTGTTCGCCGCTCCAGGTGCTGAGTCCGAGGGAGGCTTGGGACGCGAGAGCCGCGGTCTCGCCGCCGCCGCCGCCGCCGCAAGAGCCACCGCCGGGAAGCCGGGGCCGTGAGGAGCCCGGAGGAGCTGGGTGCGCTGCCAGACTCTGACCGCCCTCCCGCCTCTCTGAGGTCTGTGCTGCTCGGTTCGCTTTTGTTTTATTGGGGAGAGAATGAATTGAGGCGTGAGGGGGCCTGGGGAGTTGATGGGACCTGTCCTCACCGCCCTCAAGACCATCTGTCCCGGAGAGCAGCTGACTGACTCCTCGCGGGCCTCCCTGTGGCCTGGCGCCTGAAGTCGGAACAGCTTGGGTTAGTTTTTGTTTTATGGTGGAGCGGGCTCTTGAGTGCGAGGGAGAAGGGCTGGGGGACTCCCTCCCCCCATCTCTCCTGAGAGGATGTTGAGAGCTGGGAGCCTCCCTCCCCCTGTACCTGAAGTCTAAGCTGCTTGGATTGTTGAGGATGGGAGCAAGTGTTCTGGGATGAAAGGTTCGGAGGCAGAGCGACCCTTCCTCACAACACCTCTGCCGCTTGAGGTTACAAAGGAGGTCTGGGTGTGATGGATGAGACCGCGGGACTCCGCCTCCTCTGCTCAGCCCCTCCTGGGGCTGTTGAGGATGTCGGCAAGATCCCTTCCGTGCCCACTCCTCTCTTGAAACCTAGGGTTTTGTGAAGAGGGGGGACGGGATGAAGATGGAGTCAGGGGACTCTTCCCCTTCCCACCTGGACCCGCCTAGGTTATGGGGGAGGGGATTGGGATGCGAGGGGCAAAGGCGGAGAGACCCCTCCCCACCCTGCTCCGAGTCGCTGGTGCAAGAAAGCACTGACGGATTCTCGGGGTCCTCCACGCTCGCGGCTCCGCACCTAAGGTGGCCTGGGGGTGGAGTGCGCGGTGGGGGAAAGCAAGAGGGGCTGAGGGACTCCTCCTGACCTCTCCCCCCCCAGGCGCTATCTCCCAGGCCCTCTCTACCTGGGTCCAGGCCAGGGGCCAGAAGTCGAGACGACCCTCCATGCCCCGCCCCGCCCAGGGGACCCGGGCTCCTGCACCGCGGAAGAGAGCCAGACCCGGATGGGCACGTGCGGGACGGGGCGGGTCCCTCTCAAGCACCCCGGAGCTCCGGGCAGACGCCTCCCGCGCCCACAGCCCCTCGGGGATGCTCCACTCCGCGCCGGGCGCGCCCTAGATCCGGCCGCGGAGACCTGCGCCCAGAGCACGCGGCGGCCGCTCCGGCGCTAGGCTTCCGCGCTCGGCCTCGGCATCCGCTGGAGGACAAAGCGGCAGTCGCCGCACTGGCGTGCCTGCGCCACGGGCTGGGCGGGGGGCGCGGCCGGGGGAGGGGGGGCTTCGGGTGCGGCGCGAGGAGCTTCTGCGGAAACGTGCCAGGAGCTGGGCTGGAGACAAAGCGTGCTCGTTCCTCGCGGGCCCGCGCGAGCCGGGATGGAAAATCCCGAGGGAGGAAGCGGCTGCGCCCCGGCAGGGCACTAAGCCCCACACCCTTCTCCGCACACCCCCGCCGGACCGGCGCCCAGGATGCCGTGTGTGCGATGGTAATCAGGGTCCCTTCTGGGGGTCGTTCAAGACCTGTGGCCACGAGGACGTGGACAGGTCGGGGCTCCGCCTGGCGAGGAAGGGCCAGGGTTCAGGAGGCGTGAGTGGGCCAGGGTCCCCAGGGGCATCCTGACTGGCCCCCCAAGCTCCATCAGCCGTGTTAGTTCAAATCTGATTCCGGGGTTCAAGTGTGTTTATATATGTCACAGTGTAAGTGTTTGCACGGGTGATGGTGTAGGTCAGAGTGTGAGTGTGAATGTGTGACTGCGTGAATGTGCCAGTGTGTGCTCCAGTGTTCACGAGTGTGTCGTGGTGAGCTTATGCATCTGGCTGAGTGTGTGTGAGAAGAGGAACCACTTACTGCTGGCCTTGAACGTTGGGGGTGGAAGCAGAGTAGTCACCCCTTCCACTCTTAAGCCACAGCAATGACATAGGGTCCCAGTGGACGCCCCCAGTGGGCAAGTATCTTCAGGCTGCCTTGGGCCTAGCCTGCATGCCTGGGTGTGGCCCAGAAAGTGGGACATCACATGTATGTGGAGCCTCTTCAGCCCTTCTGGAATCTCAGGTCTGACGCTAACATCCTTACCAGTGCCCTGCCCTTCCCATCCCTCAGAAAACTTATCCTGCTGTAATGGGCTGCCCTGAGGATCAGAATTCTGCACCCACACACACACCACAGGCTGCCAAGTGGGTCTTGGAGGGCTCATCATTGGAGTCCCTTATGATGTGGGTGCCAGATTGTGGCAAAGCGACTTTTGTCACTTTGGCCTCTGCATCTGGAAGGACTATGGAGCTGGGGTTGCTTGTCAGTAACAGGTGGCCTCTCAAAAATACCAGATACACTTACAGAGAGGGCATGAGTGTGACACAGAGACACTACTATGGGTAGACACCCCTGGAGGATGAGGATGGCCCTCCCAGACCTGCCCACTCCTAGCAAGTGACTTCAATTTCATAGCACTTTTATGGCAAAGGTGCTCTGTCACTCTGAGATCATCCCCACGGAGAGACCCCTTTTGCAAAAGATGAGGGGCTAGACTTCCAGCGCAGTTACCAGACAGTAGCATCACCATCCAGCCCAGACTGCCTGGTCTGGTCTCCACAGGTATTCACTGCCAGTATCCACAGCGGCCTCTACTGGACAGAAGTTAAACCAAGCCAAAATTTGGCAACTAACACTCCCTCGTGGTGTGGAGGCTCAGGGCGGGTGTGGGCATTGTTAGGTAAAAACCCCTAACTCTTCTATGTGGGGGCTCTCTCTCTGCCTTTGGAGTCATGAGTTGATGGACTTGTCTGCAGTTCCTTCAAGCAGTGGGACTGTCACTGTCCTCGCTCTTATGGAAATATTTAAAGAGGGCCTAAAAGACTTTGTTCAAGTTTCTGTCCAATTGAGGGTGGGCATCAAATCCATTTATGAGGAAAATGCAGGGAAAACATTTTATCAAACTCAAGGACATTTAGGGATCTTTCCTGTATCTTCCTCTCCCTCTAAAATTCTTTTCTCCTTTCTTTCCTATTCCACTTTTGTCTTCCTCACTTCATTATTAGTCAATAACACATTTTTCAAGGATAAACCATATTTTCTTTGTTGACAATGTGCCCAGAAAATGCAGATATCAGGAGGCTATTACTAAATGCAAAGAGCTGGCAAGTGCTGGTTCTTGCAGGCCTTATGGGCGTGGGGGAAATGGATGAGACGTGCTTAGTCTTAAATGCCCCCCTGATGACAGTTGTCTCTTCTCCTGGAGTTGCTCTGAAGGGATTTCACACAGCCACAAAATCTTTAGAACCCCTAAAAGGGAAGGAGGTATTTAAATACCTGGTATTGTTCTTACTTTAGCATCCATGTGATTTGCATTGAACTACGTGACTCGGTATCATAAAGTAAAAATAGGACTTAATCTCTTCCTTGCCTGTTCAGAAAGTGATTGCATATGTGTGTTGTGTTCTGCATTGGAGAATGAAAAGCTAAACTGTCTCATAAATTGAGCCACCTGCTTATCCTGATTAGAGAATGGCGCTTAACATCACCGATGGGCAATAACATTATTTTATGTTTCTTTTAATTTGTACCTGAATCTCTTTGTCTTGTAAAACCTTTCTTCATGTTCATACATTATTACTTTCACTTGAGGTTAATCAAGAATGTTTAATCTTTGTACTAAAGCCAAACAATTAAATATCAGCAGATACAGGAAGATGTGGGTGGCATTTCTGTTCTTCTTGGGCTCAGAAAAATCCTTGGAGTTCATAGGAGAGAAGGAAAGGGTCTGAAGATTCGGTAAACCTTATGGACGGTGTTAATGGGTTTCTGAGGAGGCGAGGCTCCTCAGAATTTTCCAGGAGCGCTGGTCATGTTGAAGAGTCTAAGTATGCATGCATGTGGCTGGCATGCATGTTGGGAGTGAGACTGCAGCCTTTGTGATTTCTAAATCCGCATACTAACACAGCCTTTCTGGGAAAATCCCCCGGGTCCCTCCTGCTCCCTCAGGCAGCCAGCGGGCGCTAAGGAATGGAGCTGTCCAAGGTTCTGGAGCTCTGGACTCAGCCCCACCCCAGTGGGAAGGGAGGATTTTAGTGCATGGAGCAGAAGCAAGCTCTGAGGACCACCACCTCTACGAGGATTTCCCCAAAGCTCATCGCAGAATGGAATAGGAGGAAACAGAACAGTAGAGGCTTTTACTGCATCGCTTCGAATGAACCCATCAGCAATCCCTATTTAAAGAATTATGAGCTAATAGTAAGAGGAAACATTTCTGAGTCAGGCTCTTCGCATGTAAGAATGTATTTAATCCTCACAGTCCTATGAGGTAGGTGGTGGTGTTATTCTCACTTTCAAGATGAGGAAATGAAGCTTTGAGAGGAAAGGGGCTTGCCCATGGTCACACTGATCAGAAGAAGCAGAGTTTAGGTTCCAACTTGAATCTCTTAAACCCCAGACTCTCCTCCTTACCACTATTTTTTTCCTACTGCTATTGTAGAAGCAAAATTGAAGTACTGGAGTGTCTTATATGAGATTCTAACCAAATGTTATTGGAATGGGATTGGGGACCAGCTAAGATTCAGACATAAATCACAGAGAGTCCTTTCAAATTCAGCAAGGATATTGCCAAATACTTTACATCTTATCCTGACAAAAGGCTTGTTACCTGAAACTCATTACCGAAGAAGGGGAAAGGGGAGTATAATGACCCTCATGGCCAGTGGCCCAGGGTTTTCTTTCCAATGTGGAACAATTTCACAGGAACCCAAGACTGGATGGCAACAAAATGTGTTTTAATAATCTTCAAAAATGGGAGGGAAAAAAACAAGAGGAGGCTGTTATTATTTGACAGAGTACATACAGAGCCAAAGAAAAAGGGCTTCTCTTTATTTACTAGCATTCTGTTCCAATGCTGAGGAGGACACTTGCATATTGTTAAGAGGCTCCTTCTATATGTTCCCACTCTCAGACTTTCACAGCAAAGTCTCTAACACTAAAATAAAAGTTTTCACTGTTGTGAGTCTTAACTAATTTCAGCAAATCATCACATTCCTGCACTTATGTCATCACAACCAATGTTCTGCCTTCCTATATAGCTGT